GGTATGTTTTTACTGCTAGATACACACAGGGACAGCAAGTATTAGAAAAGTTGCCTCTATGTTTCGCCCAGCTCCAGAGTGAACCCAGGTTCTTCGAGTTGAACAAAAAATTTTAACTGTATTTAGTTTTTCCAAGGGGAAAGACAAGTCTTCAAGTAATCCGCCTATTCTTCAAATGTGCCATTCGTATATAAAGAATCTTGTCAAACCAGCTGAAGATTCTTGTAAATAATTAAAAAAAAAATGAATAAGAAGCCAGATAAAGATTGCAAACATAGGGACAGTTAAGTGTAACCTATTTCATGATATCTGCGTCTGGATTCTCTCATTATTATTATTAATAACATTTTAAGACACACAACACGAAGACAAATACTGCATCACGACAATCTATGTAAAAACAATCACAATACTAAAAGCTATTGTACCTGCAAACAAAATATCCAGTTCACAGAGCCTCTTCGTTTGCTAACACTCACTAGTATAGTTACCCATAAAACTATTCAGTTTTCTTGAAATCCTAAGTAACAGCGGGTAAGTCCATTTTCTTATAACCACTAACACGCACACACGAGCACTTGAGGCATAACTTGCACAAACCTAAAGTTCCAAGTTTCTCTTTATTAGGCAGTCCACCAGAATCGAATCCAAGAGTTAAAACGTGCAAAACCAATGTCTATAAATCCAAAACGGATATCTCATCATTTAAAATAGCGATGACGAGTGGTGCTTTGACTAAAAAATAACAAGAGGACCCTGGGATATTCCGCGGGTAGCGCCGAATTTCCGGAACTCTGTTTACCCTCATACGGGCCTGATCTTGCAGACGCAGCAAGATGGGAACCAAAAGGTATCCGTTGCAAGCTTCATGCCGGATCCGTCGAGAGCGATGAGTCGCTTCTGAACGTACTGCTGTTGACAGATTGCGGTGAACCCGTCGGGGATGCTGCAAAACCCAGTGCAGGTGTTGGTGCTGCCGAAGAGGGAAATTAATAAATAACAGTAATTTTCACTCATTGCAACTTGATATATAAGAAATAACTTACCTACTTAAACTTTGCCATTTCTTTAAATCTAGGTGTTTCCTAGCCCTAAATTTTAAGCCCTAACATAATTAATATAGCATTATTTTCGCCTACCTATGTCTCCCATGAAACTCTGCTTAGCCGTACTCTCTCTTTTATCTAAACTTTCCTTCATCGACACCATGCCTAACCTTTCTAGGGTACGGTAGGTGTCTGAGCCCGAGCTTACAGCTCACAAGACTGTCATTCCCATTAGTCCCCTTGGGACGGGGATGGCAGACCAGAGAGGCCTAGCTTGTGGCTAGGCCTGGGGACAGTTGGTCCCAAAGATGAGGGGGTACTTGTGCCTCCTCCCATGGGAGACTTAGGTCTCAGACACTCCCCTAAAGAGGGAGCCAAGGCCGGGCCGCCACTTGGAAAAAGCCCGGGCAGAGAGAATACCGGCGAATCTTTAATAGCAAATAATAAACTTTCCTTAATGCTCAACTTACATGCACTTCTTGCTCTCGACCAGCTGAGTGTACTCGGTAGAGACTTCGTTGACGTTAACGAGGAACATCCAGTCACCCTTATTGTTGAGGGCTGCCCGGGGCATGATGAACTCAGACTCATATGGGCAGAGGTCCGAGGAAGAGGCTTGGCGGCGCTGGCGGCGGTGGGTTGACCTCATGGCCCTGTGTGTGACGTCAGAAGAGTGAGCAGATGAGACGGAGAGGTGTAAGTATGTATTTGCTCGTGTGAGGAAAGGTAACAGGAACACGTCGGTCATAATGACCCTCGTGTTTAAACCTACAAAGCGGAGAGGGAGTCGATATGCCTAGCCAGTGCTACGACTAGCTGGCTAGTGACTTCCTAATTTTACCACAGATATGTTTACATTCGTGTTATTGTGATATCTGGAGTCATTCGTGAACATGGTAGGAAGGCAAAATGTCCAGAAACACGTAATTCAAGACACTTAAGATTACAACAAGACTATTAAGACAGTGTATCGCTCAAGGAAAATTTTATAAAGTCATGAACTAACTTTAAAAAAGCTCTACTTGACCGGTAAACGCGCAGGCCATAGCCTGTAAAGCTAACGAACTCAAAATGTTGAAATTAGCCCTGAGATTCCCAAAGCCACGAGTGTCTTCGTACCATGAACATTACCTAACTCTACCGGGTGCATGGTATTTGTAAGATCGATAGTTGAATGGGTAGGACAATGGGTACATTGTCTTGTCTCATGAGGCGGAATAGTGTGACACGGGATCGGATGTCGGCCAGCTGCAGTTTGGTAAATGATTCACTGCCACTTGTTTCGTGGTTTCATTACTATACAGACTGTTTATGGAGGCTGGTATACAAACGGGAGGAGGTTGAAATTAGCTTTGAGCTTCCCACTGCCATGAACAACACATAGCTCTGCCGGGTGTATGGTACATATATATATATATATATATATATATATATATATATATATATATATATATATATATATATATATATATATATATATATATATATATATATATATATATATATATATATATATATATATATATATATATATATATGCAAAACAACCACTCTGAAAGAATAGAGAAATTCCAAGCGCTTTCGTGACTACTCACATTATCAAGGAACTATGAAAGTAAAGCATCCAAGGAAGCTATATAAGGGGTCTGGCCAGCACCTCACTATCAGATCCCACAACGGTTAAACACCTGACGCGCGCCGACCCAACTTGGATAGGTCCTTGGCACAACTCACCCCACAAACTATTCTACCCAAGAAAATTTAAAAATTATTTGTCCAGTGTATTATTAAATTCTTCCCAAATTCTATTAATTATAAATGGATCTAATTTATATAAACCAAAGGAAATATTCATATTATTGTCAAAACTGCTTTTTATGAAACAAGATTCAATTATATTCCTGTCGACCATGGACTTGCTTGATACTACTTTCTCAACTTTTTGAAAATCAATTGGATGGTTAAAATCTCTTACATGAATAAATAGAGCATTGGAATCTTGTCCAATTCTAATGCTATATTTATGTTGTTTTAATCTTAGTTCGAGATTTTTACCAGTTTGACAGTAATAAACTTTATCGCAAATTTTACAAGGAATCTTATAGACACATCCATCAGCATTTTGGGAGGAATCCTTTATCAAAAGTTTTTTTACTGTATCAAGATTTTTGAATACAACTTTAATATTAAAAGTCTTAAGAAGAGAAGGCATATCAACCAAGTTTTCATGGTAAGGGAGAACCAACATATTTTTAGTTGAATAAGGCTGGTTGTCCCTTTTTGGATAGTAAAAAGTATTTCTAGCAACTTTAAAAGATTTATCAATTACATTTCTTGGGTATTTTAAATCATTACCTATTTCATAAATTTTGGATATTTCCTCATCTATGAACTCAGGACTACAAATTCGTAAAGCTCTCAAAAACATTGATGCATATTCTGAAATCACCTGTTTACTGTGATCTTATTGCATATATATATATATATATATATATATATATATATATATATATATATATAAATATATTATATATATATATATATAGGCATAATTAGTCAGCAAGAACTCATTTAAAATTAAGTCCTTAATCAAATTTCCTCTTATACGTTTAAAGATATATTTTTCATTTACGTTAATGGAAAAATAAGTAATTTTGTACCAAAAGAACCTGCCGAATAGGTATAAGTTGCGATTTTGGCTTAAATAGAAAACCATTCGAAAATTTGTGTATGTAATAATTTCGCGAGAATCATTCTGAACCTAACGAGAAAAATATAATTCATTGTGTTTGTTTGTTTATTATTAAATTATTGTAAATTTATCTAAAATATATTTAGTTGGATAAGGCTAAATTAAATTGAGCTTGTTATGATAAGGTTAGGTAAGTTTTCTAAGGTTCTTTTGGTACAAAATTATTAATTTTTACATTAACATAGCATACATTAACACGGTTACCCTAAGTGAAGATCGCATTATTAATGACCAAATAAATGTAATAATGTCGTTACGTTTAAACTTGTGTTGGTGATTTATAGCAAAAATTAATACAAGCTTATCTTGTTGAGCGAAATGATCCTCGCTAAATCAGCAGAGATGGAAAGCAGACAGAAGCAGTCAAGCCTGTATAGCGAGCATAAGCCAGCAAGCATTCATTCCAGTCGTGTGTTTTTGTAAGTCCTTGTCATCCCTGTGTGTCTTCCTGATGTCCTTAGTCTCTCTCTCTCTCTCTCTCTCTCTCTCTCTCTCTCTCTCTCTCTCTCTTCTCTCTCTCTCTCTCTCTCCTCGCACATACGCTTACACGAACACAAGCATACTGCCCAGTAAGCCCCCTCCTGGACCAGGGTGGACCACCAACCCTGGGACCGTCTAGAGAAGACGCTTACTTGGTCCACCATGGCTGTGGCTTGGGAGGGGAGCGAGGCGGAGGCAAGTAGCGGGGAACGTAGGAGTTCCCAGCAGTGGGGGACTTCGGGTACCGTGGGTAGGGACCCTCGTTGTCGTAGATGGGCGTGGGTGGCGGCTCGTAGAGGTTCGTGGGCGCCGGCTGGTTGTAGAACCCAGAAGAGGGCGCGCCGTACTTGGTGGAAGGTGGAGGTAGGTAGGAAGGCGCCACGTAAGGTTTGGACGTAGTCGAGTAGTTCTGACGTGGGGGCGGCAAGTAGCCCGTGGATGGTCTGGGAGGCCCGTAGGTCGGTCTCGGGGGCCCGTAGGTCTGCCTGGGCCCGTCGAAGGGCTGCCGGGGAGGCTCGTAGTCGTAAGTCATCGGCGGCGTTGGGGAATCCCTGAAGAGGATCACAGGATGAGGAATTATTCAACAGCCGAGGATAATCACTTAATGCAGTGCAGTCTCACTGAATATATATATATATATATATGACATTTTAATATATGCTAATGTTATGGTATACGATAAAATATAATACCATGGGAGAAGTATGACAGCTGGTGAAGGCAGGGTCTTCCCATGGCAGAGCATATCATGGCTACATAATTCTCTCTCAGGCCATAATACCAACAAGAAGAACATGCAGATATATCATTTATTATTGAAAAAAAGAGAAGGGAGAGAGAGAGTAATTCCCACAGCCTTCAGACAGTCAGGCTGGGGAAGAGAACCTTACCTCGCCTCGAAGGTGTATGAGTCTCTGGTCTCGTCCATCAATAAGGAGTCAACGTCGAACATCTTATTCTCCAGTAGGTATACGATGCGATCTCTGGGAGAGAGAGAGGGGGGGAGGGGTCAGCGTTGCGAACAAGGGTCAAAGGCTCAGTGTTACACACGAAGAGAGAAAGGGAAAACACAGAGAGAAAAAAAAGCGTAAAACACGAAAGAGGTACTAACAGACATATCCTCCACTAGTTAATACCAACACCAAGAGGCTAGTTAATCAGTCTGCTTACAAAGACTTGGAACAACTCTCCCTTACATTGTAGTAAACTTGATCACCTTCCATTCCAGAGGCGTTGTATGAGACTTGCTACACAAATAACCTGGACATAGGAGAGAGAAGCTTACGACGACGTTTCGGTCCGGCTTGGACCATTTACAATGTCGAGTGTGACTTTGTAAATGGTCCAAGTGGGACCGAAACGTCGTTGTGGCTTCTCTCTCGTATGTGCGGGTTATTTGTGTATTGTTCTAGTCACGGTATTGTGCCTTTTATTCTCTAAAAATTTACTGCTTATTCATAGTAAAAATGGCGCTCTACGGTCCCTAAAGGTTTACCGCTTATACGTAGGAATAATGATGATGAAAATAATAATAATGGCGTGACTAACATTTTTTTTTTTTAGCGAATGAGAGAGATAGCAATAATGGTGAGAGGAAGGACTGGGGATAGATTAAAGAAGAGAATTGTGGAAAAACAGAAAAGAGATAGGAAAGGAAGACTAAATGGCTTGACCATTTTGAGTTTTACAGAATGGCTTTTATCACACAGTGATTAGTAGTTTTTTCCGCCCGAAAAAAAAATTATATCTTCCAACAATTTTTGGATATATTTCCTAACATTGAAAAATATTCAAAATATTTTTTGCCCTAAAAAGCTCAATCTAGAATTATTATATCACAAGTCATATTATTTATTAATTGGAATTATTTATATATATATAAATCATGTAGGAATTTTCCATAACGTTTGTTTATTGTATTGTTTTACATCACACTAATATTTTCTTTATCTAATTCAGTCGATCGTTTAGTTGTCTTTTTTTTTTCATTTATATTGTATCTTACATACGCTTAATTTTATCTAATGTACCTTTTTTTCCCTATAAATCATGAGTCTTTTTTTAATATATCACAGTTGAATTTTTCCACTATATCATTATTTATCTTTCCCATTAAAATAAATTTATTTATATATAAAATTGTTAAGAAAGTCAAGGACAGAAGGAAGGTGGTCAGGATGCGAACTTCACTCTGCTCAGGAGTCTTCAGTTTATGAGAAACTCTTAAGGACTCACCTCCTGGCACTATATAAGGCCCCATCCTGTCACTTCAACTTCATATTGTTTCAGACAACGGAACAATGCTCTTCTCCAGACTGAGGGACTGACCACCTCAAAACTTTAAGGGTGATGGACTGATTACATCGTCTTCAAGTATCTTCTGCTTCTATCAACTTTTCTGTACTCGACTGAAGAAGCCTACTGTGTAGGCGAAACGTTTCGAAATAAAGATACCTAACTGTTGCATATGTGTCTTACCTAACACTCTTAAGGACTCGCTTGAAGATGACAAAAATACAGAGTTTATGGTAATTCTGTGTGTGTGTTGGACCTGATAGCTTGTGCTACCAGGTCGGTTGCCGTGTTCCTCCCTTAAGTCAATGTGACCTGACCTGACTAGGTTGGGTGCATTGGCTTAAGCCGGTAGGAGACTTGAACCTGCCTCGCATGGGCCAGTAGGCCTTCTGCAGTGTTCCTTCGTTCTTATGTTCTTATGTTCTTAAAAAGATATAAATTAGTTCAAGTGAGATGGTGTTCCTTTCAGCAGATTTAGTAAAGCAGGACGAGTTGGCAGTGTTTCTGCCCATTAATACACAGATTTCTTATCAATTAAATCACTGAAAATTAACAAGAAATTATTATATTCATCAGAATGTATTCAAGACACTTCTACATCACACAAATATTATGCTTTTTATTTTTTTTAAGACACTTCTGTAAATAGTAAGTTCATTTGGAGTGGAAACAAAAGGAGACACAAATCACCTAGTCACTTCCATAAATAATTCCTCCTTTGGAGAGAAACACTTCACAGTTTTATAAAGTGTGAACTTACTTAGGGTATTTCTTGGGCTGGATGCAGAAGGTATCCCTGGGGTCCTGTACACAGTCGGGAGTGCCACCATTGACCTCGGGCAAGAACCCGCTGTTGGGGTACGCTGGGCCCACTTCAACAGGCATCAGTCCCATCACCCAGAAGCCCACACTCAGCACCACGCTCCACTGTAAGGGCGAGAAAGAAGAAGTGGTTAAATGTTAAATTAGGAGAGATTGGGGAAAAGAGGGACTAGATCGATTAAGAGAAGGGGAAGAGGGTCGAGTGAAGCGGAATGCTTAACAATATTTCCGTAGTTCAGGTAGAGCCGAAGTTATTCTAGAATTATTAATATTATGAGCATTAAAGTTTCTCTGAATAGTATTCCTACTGCAATTTCCCCAGCTCGCTTTAAGGCAGGCGGAACTGGAGACCTGGAGAATGTACAGAGAATCTTCACTTGCAACCCTTGAACGGCAGGAAACATAAATTATAATTTACATCTGTGAACTTCTAGAGCAACTGGTAATAAATCTGCACACGGGAATCACTCCCTAGGAAAGTAAAAGGCTCGACAGACGATGGATATTTCCCCCTAATGAGAAAGAGATGCACCATGACACCACTAAGAGACAATGTAATTAGTGTAAAGGACCAAGACTCTTCAACACTCTCTATACTTAGTCGATTTTACAAACCGACCCCTAAATACCTTCATGAGGGAACTGACGAGTTCTTTAAGTCATTTTCTGGACTGCATGCTGCTAGCAGTGACAATCTGATTGATCAATCCATCCACCAGGAGGCCGTCTGGGACTACACAGCGGGGGCGTTGACCACTGAAATCACCTTCAGATAAACATCTCTCAATCCTACCCATAGGAAAAACGGGATTCCTAATGATATCATCATCAGCAGTAGCACAAATAGGAATAAAGTGAAATTGGTAGTAATATGTGTAGTAACATCGAAGTTCTTCGTTCCTCTTCGCCAACAATCACCAAAGAGTAACATCTAGGTACTAACTTACTGTTAGGTGAGTAGGGGAAGGTGTTAGGAGAGGTGCCAAATGTGAAATCACTACCACTGGGCTACGCGGTACTCTATAAGAGGTACAAGGATGTGTCTGTAACAGTTAGGTCTTGATGGGAACCATTATACACACTACTTTCCCATCAATCTCTGGAATATTTTCTGTGACGTGAAACTGTCCAGCTTATAAATAGGACACTATTATTATTATTATTATTATTATTATTATTATTATTATTATTATTATTATTATTATTATTATTATTATTATTATTATTATTATTATTTATGTTCACAAGAAAGCCTTGTTTCAACCCTCTCAGCTCCTTCAGCCTCCTTCAGCCCCCTGAGGGACTCAGCCCTCCAGAGGGGCTGATAGCCTCCCATACTTTTTGATCAACAGTTTAACTGGTTCCATACGTGGCTAAGAACATCATCAATCACTCCACCTCTCCGGAGTAGTGTTCGTTAGTGTTCGTGAAATACGATTGACAGGGAAATGAGCAAAAGTTCTCTCTTTACCTTGGCAGGAAAAATACAGAAAAGCCTTGCATCACTTTCCTTATAATGTGGGACATAATGAACTGTTGTCTATGCCCAGACAACAAGAACTCGACCGTCTTATATTCAATGTTGTTGCAATGTTTAGCAAGGAAGGGAAATAACGTTGAATTCAGCAGATCCTTCGTAAGGAGGGCGCCCCCAGGGTGAAGCCCGCTGCAGGGGTCAGATTGCCTTAAGGAACGGAAAGGGAACTGAGCTTCACACGGGGATAACGGAAAAAGAGCACCAGTGATCCGTGCGCTTTTGTTCCTCGTTTGGTGACATTTTCAACAATATGTGGTAGAACTATGACACAGTGAAGTGGGACAGGTCTTCCTGTTGTGAAATACCGTGAAACAAAAAATATTCTTGATCCTGGTGTAGTGTAACAGTGTGTGTTGCGAACAATCTTCAGAGAGAGACAGTGCACAGTGAGACACTACTACTGCTTCAATCAAGACAACGGATATCGGGTAATTTTCCCTACCACAAGCCAGGGAAAACCTTGCGGGTCCGATACAAATACCCAGGTAAATCTAGTCAGTTATAAACCTAGTTAGGTCGGCTGCACAGCAGATAGCTAGGTCATATCATGTCTGGATTTACCAATATACCCCGTTATTCAAGGGGCATTGAGTTCAAAAAAGTAAGTGACCATCTATTCAGCATTATGTACCAGTGAAATGCTGAAACATTGCTCCTGTGGGGCAATTATATACTTTTGCTTACTTGAATTCCTTTGGCTTTGACGGCTCCTAAAAGAAACGACCAGGAGCGGCTGCGGGACCGTTGAGCCGTCATTTAAGATAAGTATCTTTCTACAGTCCTTTAACTTTCTTGTCCTAGCTTGCTATGTAGCCCTTACATGTTATCAGGTAAAGAGAGTCTTTTTTCTCATTTCTCTGTCAATTGTATTTCACAAACATTACTCCGCAGAGGTGGCGTGACTTACGACGTTCTTAGCCACATATTGAACCAATATGCTGCTATGTATGATAATCTGTGTAACTGTATTTGTGTATACCTGAATAAACTTACTTTACTTACTTACTTACTAAACTGTTGATCAGAAAGCAAGAGAGGCTATCAGTCCCTCTGGAGGGCTGAGACCCTCAGGGGGCTGAAGGGGCTGAGAGGGCTGAAGTCCCCTTTCTGGAGAAATTTTCTCCACACCTTGAACCCGAATTGTTGTCTTGGTTATTCAGCCAACCTGACAACACTGGCTTTCTAAACACTGAAAAAAAAATCACTAAGTTACCATAAGCTTAATCGTAAACTAGACTAATTATTCTTCTGCATTTTCGTAAAGAATGTATAATGGATTTTCTTCCTTACAATTTTGGAAGAGGAAAGGCTTATTACGTAAGGTACTACTGCGACAGAAATGGAAAGTAGACAGTGAGTCCCATGCTGGTCATATTGCAAGATCGGAGGACCGGAACGTAAACACACGTTCGGTAGTGGCCGCCAGCAACACGGAATCTCCTCGCCACATTTGCAGAGGTCGTCCGCCGCTCTTCCTCCTCCTCTGTTCCGACGATCTGTTGCAAGCGGAGACGTCCCCCATCTTGGTGGACATTTGCAGCACGGATAATGGCGTCTAGAGAGTTAAGGTGGTGAGGGGTGTGGCTAAAGTTCAGCCTTGAGGTGAAGATGACCGGATGGCCGCCTCAGCAAACCTTTCATAACTTATCGCCTTTTTTCCCCTTGTTGCATCAACAGCTTCTACATCTCTTGGATTTTTTTTCAGCGACTGATAAAACAGCGACTCTTCCAGTATTGACGAGGGAGACGTTTTGCTCCAGATTGCTTTGGGAAAGGTGCTTTCATATTGAGGGTTTGTTGGAGAGGTTAGGTTTAACGAGGTTGTTGTCAAGTGCGTGCGTGGGTTGTAGCCAGTCCGGAAACTGGTTGAGAAAGTATTCCACTAGAAGCATGTAGCGGTCTCCTCCTCCTACTCCTTCTTTTCTTCTTCTCCTTCTCCTTCTCTTACTCTTTCTTCTTCTTTTCTTCTCCTTCTCCTCCTCCTCCTTCCGTTCTTCCTCCTTTTTCTTCTCACCCTTCTCCTCCTGTTCCTCTTCTTTTTTCCCCTCCTCCATCTTCTTCTCTTCCTCCTTCTCCTTCTCCTACTCCTATTTCTCCTCCTCCTCCTCCTCCCCCCTCCTTCATCTCCTCCACGAATATATCTTAAAAACAGAAAGAAAAACCTGAGTAGCCATCTGTTTTCAAATTCCCTTTTAAGGACTGATAAAATTATGGTTCATATCCAGGTTGTAAATCTATGAATTTCAATTGAAAATATCCTATATTAACTGATTATTTTCACGCGAGTGAATAAAATTACTTTATTATTGCTCAGGAAGATCCAATAAGGTGTATTTTATTATTAAGAAACTTTTCCCCCTTAAAGAAGCCTTGGCTGCCCATCTGTACTTAAAAATAAAAACAAGCCAATATATATATATATATATATATATATATATATATATATATATATATATATATATATATATATATATATATATATATATATATATATATATATATATAATTAGGGTCTTTGTTGCCTGAGTTATGATATGATTTGTGCGTATGATGATTGATGGTTGATTTTTATTGTGATTTTTGTGTTGTTGTTTTAGTGTGTTTGATTTTTGCTTTGTTGACTTTCCTGGTGATGATCGTCTCAGACTCGGACCTAAATATTCATATAACTGATCTGTTGTATTCATCTACATGTGGCGCTCATTCAACCATCAACAGGTGTCCACGATCCTTTGATGCTCTGTCAGATGTATTCAGCTTTTCTCTTTCTCTCTCTCTCTCTCTCTCTCTCTCTCTCTCTCTCTCTCTCTCTCTCTCTCTCTCTCTCTCTCTCTCTCTCTCTCTCTCTCTCTCTCTCTCCACACACACACACAGGTTCTCTTACAAAATGAGAGGCACCAGTGTAGTTCACCACCCACCTTCCCATATATGGGAGGGTAGCAGAGGACCTCTGAGTTTACAGAAAGCAGATAAATTATTAATAGGAGATACAGTAGGTAGCCCTAAATCTGGAGTCTACCTGGAGGGCATTCCGGGGATCAATGCCCCCGTGGCCTGGTTCATGACCAGGCCTCCCGGTGGATCAGGGCCTCATAAACTAGGCTGTTACGAACTACAGCCCGGCTGTTCCGGCACCGACTTGAGGTATCTGTCCATATCTCTCATCAAGACAACCAGGGGTCTATTGGTAATTTCCCTTATGGCTGGTGAGAGGCTGTTGAACAGTCTTGGGCCCCGGACACTTATTGTGTATGTTGCACTACCTGCTAAGCTTTTGTAAGGGAGTGATTTCTGTGTGTAGATTAAGGACCAGTCCCTCTAGGATTTTCCAGGGGTAGATTATGTTGTATCTCTCTCGCCTGGACTCCAGTGAGTATAAGTGCTTCCAAGCATTCCCATAGTTGAGATGTTTGATGGAACTTATATGTGCAGGAAAGGTTCTCTGTACATTCACTAGATCTGCGATTTCACCTGCCTTGTATAACCCTTGTAAATTTAGCGCTTCATTTTTTAATTATTGTAATAATTCATATATTCCTAAATATAATCTACCTGTATCCTCATTTTC